TCGTGACCAATAATTTTAAGCCCAAAGCCCTAAACCCTACTCTGGATAGAATAAATCTTGCGCTGCCCAATATACCTCATACCTCGGAAAATTACAGTGGATGGAGGGCTCTAAGTGGTGCCCAATAACAGTGGATTGAGGATTCTAAGTGTACAGTAAACCCTGAACCCTCAAGCCCAGTACCATTACTTAGGGTACCCAAATTTCCTTAATTTTAAAAGTTCAAAAGTTGAAAACCACAATGACACACCCCAAACCCTAAGTAATGGTAATACGCCCTAAACCCTAAACCCTCAACTCAGGCAGGAAAAGAGGCGTTGCAAATGCACCGGAGCTCTATGGAGCTGAGGCGTTAGCAAAGTCGGAGCTCATCGAGAGGGACGGGCTGGTTTGCATCGAATACCCTCGAGAACTAGGCACCCTAGGGCGGACTTGGATAGGTTTGGGGTTTAGAGTTTAGAGTTTAGGGTTTAGGGTTTGGGGTTTGGGGTTTGTGGCTTGAGGTTTAGGGTTTAGGGTTTAGGGTTGAGGGTCAGGATACTGCCCCCTACTCCGAATACCCTGAGCCCTCAATATTACCTTGATTGACTGTTATTGGGTGGGTGCAGTATTCAAAAAAAGCAGCTCCCCCTTCTTTGAAGGGAATACAGGGGATAAGGTCAATTCAGGAGGGAATGTCAAGTTATGCATCCCTTTTGGGGTATTTTCGCGCTGACTGCATGTTTTGTTGGTTGTCTTAATTCGGAGAAACACCTTCTTTTCCTGGGAACTGCGGAGAGACAGCCGCAGATATCAGGTCATAGTGTGAAGGTTTTGATCATGCAGACCCTAAACCCTAAACCCTAAACCCTGAACCCTAAACCCTAAACCAGGCTGCTACTTGAGCGGTTTAGGGTTTGGGGCCCCCTTGAATGGTAGGACCCATCAGTGTCAGAATTAGCGAGCTAGAGACCACCCACACCCAAACCCTAAACCGGTTTAGGGTTTAGGGTTTAGAGTTTAGGGTCCCTACACCCTAAACCCCGTCAATCGGGATAATGGAAGAGAAAATGGAAACTACTATTTAGGGTTTAGGGTTTAGGGATAATACACCAATAATGGAGAATCAAATGGAAATGAAAATGGAAAATGAAATGGAAACTGGGATTATTTTGGGGAATGTTGGCGTTATATTGGGGTTATACAGGGAGAATGGAAAAGAACATGGAAGCTACTATTTAGGTTTTAGTTTTAGGGTTTAGGGTTGTAGTTTAGGTGGACCCCCCCACCTAGTAAAAGTGATTATAAGGGATAATAGTGAATATATTAGGGTCGTCTTATATTCCTAGTATATCGCTATTACAGGGTGTTGATACTGGTAATCCAACTGGTACAAACACATTGGGCCATAATTCAAAATCAAGACACATGTGTTGATGACAAGCTGTAACCTAATTTCGAAGACTCAGAAGCATAAATCATAATTAAGAAAACTGTAGTCAAAACTAGGTGCAACCTCAAAACCACAGTTCATAAGACAACCGTAGTTGAAATTAGGTATGAACCCTAAACCCTAAACCCTAATTTAGAAGACTTGGAGCCCTGTTTGTATCTATCTATGAAACCTCGAGTGGGAGTTCCCCCAAATTGCCACTAAACGGGATTCCTACGATTCCTACAGAATCCCTAGGTTCTCTGTGGTCCCCTAAACCCTAAACCCTTTTTTAGAAACTCTAAACTAGAGAGCCAGTCATCAGCAGGTGCCCTGCCTCCAGTGCTGTGTGCGCCGTTCGATGATGAAGACAGCTTCGACGACGTTGCTGCGGGAGTCCCCGTGCTCCACGGGCTGAGGCTTCGGATCTTTGGTTTTGGCTTAGGGTTTAGGGTTTATGGTTTAGGGAATTTGGGTGGAGAAAAAGCCCAAGTTATAACCAGGCAATAGCCTATCCTATAGCATCTTATAAGTATTCTTCAGACAACACCCGCGTAAGTTAAAATGCTTACCTGGGGAGGGATTGCGCATGATGTCATGATGGATCACAAGTGGCCTTGGTCAACTACACAGGGGTGGTTGCAATTATGGTAGTTTCCCAAAATAGGGGGACCCCAATATACACCCCAAAATAGTATAATCCTTAGGTGGGGACTTCAAATAGGTACTCCTAATTTTGGGAAACCCCCTTATGGGTGGGCGAGGGATGTGCTAGAGTGACGTGCATCCACTCGCAGTGCCTGATTCCTTTTGTGTTCGAGACCCCTAAGCCCTAAAACCCTGAACACTAAAAACTGAAACCCTAATTCAACTCTCAACCCTAAAGCCTTGAATCCTAAACACCTAAACCCTAATTCCCCCTAACTCCTAAACCTTGGACCCGCATTGGGCCTTGTGCCAGGAACCGAGAATATGGCAGCACAATGCCAGATCCCCAGATACATAGCTTGCTGCAGGATTACATTTGCAGGCGACTCTGCTGGTCGCGCCCTTCATATAGGGTTTAGGATTCAGGACTCAGGGCTTAGAGTTTAAGGTTTAGGGTTTACGGTTCAGGGTTAAGGGTACAGGGTTCAGGGTTCAGGGTTTGGCAAGACAAAGACTTCCTGCCTTACACAACTGCCTCTCCAAGCATTGCTTGTTGCGAATCGAGCTGTGCCCCAATAGCACAGGCTTGGCTTCTTTTTTGGGGAGGGGGCTCCCATTTGGGGGGCAACCCTAAAACGCTAACCCTACAACCCTAAACCCAAAACCCACTTAAAGTTTAGGTAAATCGCTTCATGAACGCTGGCGCTCTTGCATTTTGGCTCCCAAAGCCTGAGGCTGGCAATCTACACCAAGCTGCCCACCGGGGTTGGACCCTAAGCATCCAGATGTATCTTACTACCACCACTTGTACTTTTGCTCCTCCTCCTACTACTCCTCCCCCTACTACTGCTACTACTACTATTATTAGTACTACTACTACTACTACTACTACTATCACTACTATTATTATTATTATCATTATGATCGTTGTTGTTTATTTGTTTCTACTCTTGTTGTTCCTCCTACTACTCCTACTGCCATGACTTCTATAGCTACCACTATTATTAAGTTATCATTCAGAGTTTGCATGGGCAATGAGGTGCGTGGGCGCACAGGCGAGCCGCGGCCATGGGAATTTACCGAGGCGCTCATGCAGCCGAAGTTGCGGCAGAGGAGCCCAGAATTGCTGTCTTCTTCGTATTGTTGCTAGTATGCGCTGAGTACTCGTATCATCGTTATGACAGTATAGTTTTATGCTATGTCACTAGTGTTCTTACTATTACATCTACCAATACACAACCTACATATGCATATGCATGTGCATATAGGTTTTTCTGTATGAACAAATATGTACATATAGAAATTCAATATGATCACCCTAAACGGTAAACTCTCAGCCTATCAGGTTGCAGTTTCGAAGCTCTAACAGTGCCCAGGGTCAGCCATTCATGTAGAACTCGGGTCATCCCCCTCACAGTAGCTGTCCTTGAACGATTTGTCCAAGGGGCTGTCATGTTTAGGGTTTAGGATTTAGGGTCTATGTGGTAACTGTTACTTTCAGGGGGGAATGGCCCCTGTATAACCCCGATACAACCTCTACAGTTTCCATCTTATTTTGCATCATTCCAGTATATACACCCTATATAACCCGGATAGTACAGAAGTTGCCATTTCATTTTCCATTCTCCCAATATAGCCCTAATATAGCGAGCCTGCAGCAGGAGCCGCGACTTGTGGCGTACGCCAAGCATCTTTGCGGACTACGGGGAGCGCGGCTTTGCTGTTCCGAAGAAGGTGGTGCAACCATCGAGCTGTTTAAGATATAGTAATATGGGGGTTTAGGGTTATGGGTTTAGGATTTTGGGTTTTGGGTTTAGGGTTTTGGGTTTAGGGTTTAGGGTTTAGGACCACAACTGGCTGGAGGGGTGTGGGAATATAGATACTATCATATGAGCTAGAGTCTAATGTCCTCAAAGGGGGTTTTATAGGAGACTACCACAGGGGACTACTTTAGGGGTAAATAAGGGGGATACTAGGAGTTTAGACTATAGCTCATATTACATGGGGTGATATCCGGATGATTATCAAGATCCACTCCCCCACGTTCTGAGTCACCAGTCAGACAACGGCTCACTCCAGCTTGGAAATTTGCTCAGCCCTAAACTCTGAACCTAAAGCCTGACCCGAAAGCCTAAACCCTTAGCCCTAATGCCTGACCCCTAATGCCTAAACCCTGAACCCTAAACTCTACACATTGCTTGTTCTGCAGGCCCCAGCCTTGAAGGAGTGAGAGCCAGAGTGTGAAGCTCTCTTCCACGCGCTCTGCTAGTTGTCTTACCATGTGGACGGTGTGTGTGTGTGTGTGTGTGTGTGTGGCTTGGGGTTTAGGGGCTTCTATCGTTTAGGGTCTAGGGTTTAGGGACTGCTAGTATGAACACCCTAGTACTATTGTTACTGTAATTATATATAGTATTCTTCTTCATTTCTATTATCTTATCGATTTTAAACTCACGGTTACTACAATTAGCATATTAGTATTAGTACTTCTTCACATTCTTGTTAATTATTTCTATTATCGCGAGTATTGTGTGCGGTTTCACCTGACAAGTATTCGTAGATGGCCACTAAGCCAGGCCTGGCGCCAGCAGAAAGGAGTGCTGAGTTGCTTGCAACGTTTATAGGGTTTGAGGGTTTAGGGTTTGATGAGGGTTTTGGGGCTTAGGTGTGAGGTTTGGGGTTTAGTGCATAGGGCTGAGTCAACTGAGGGTTGCAGTTAGGGAGCCCATTTGGAGTGTTGACAAGTAGGGCCCTTTATGGGTGCTCTACATATCAGGGGCCGCAATATCATAGGGAATTCAGAATGGCAGCCCTATCAGTCACTATACATAGTATGGCAACCCAATTCAAGATCCTCAACGGCAACCCAGGAAAAGTGTAGTTGATGCCTGTAGCAGCAAACCTCTGTTTGTGCTTCTGCTGGGTCGCATCCATCTATTTGCAGGGCCATCGAGCTGTATCTGCGTGGTGGCATGGCTGCGAAGGCTGCAAGGGAGGGTCTTCAGTCTTCAATGCTGTGGGCCCTCAAGTTTGTGAAGTTCCTAGCATCTTAAATTCTGCTCGTATACCCTAGAGCCTGAAGCCTCAAAAGAACTTTTCAAAATTAGGCAGACGAAACTCAAGCTATCACCAGGTAGTATATTCTGGCCGCGAAATTAATATCATTGTACACAACACTGCGGTGGATACTAAAAGCCTACATGACCCTAAGTACCTTAGAGCCAGGAAACAATGGTATTCTGTACGCAAGACCCATGCAGTGATGTTTAGCATTAGGACTGTTATTTCGTCAGGTACCTACCTCTAGTCCCCCTTAAGTAGATAGAATACGGCTTTGGGTAAATTGGAATAAGATCCCCATATACCCCATATTCTATCTACTCAAGGGCGACTATAGCTCAGGAGACTTATTGTACTGAGCTGCACTGGTCATAGTGCAGGCGGCCTCCGTCGTCCAGCGGCACAATGCCAACTACTCTCAGGACCTCGTGGCTTAAAAAAGCCAGCAAACCCTAAACCCTAAACCCTAATCACAGCATTAATATGAGCTATAGTCTAAACTCCTTAAAGGGGGGTTATATCAGGAGTTATATATGGGATTACTATAGGGGTTATTAAGGGGGATACTAGGAGTTTAGACTAGGGCTCATATGGATAGAGGAGACCCTGCACCACCTACGACCCCCCAGTATACTGTGATTTTCAGGGTATAGGGTACGTGCATGTACATGTGAAGGTGCCAGAATTCTTCCATCCACAGTATTAGTTATAGTAACAACAGCCACAGCAGTATTCAGCGCAAGAATAACAAAAGCAGTGATAGCAGTAGCAATAATAACAGTAGTAATCAGAGTAACCATAATACTCATAGCAAGAACATCATTGCTAGTAGTAATACTAAGGTTAGCAACCATCGTTCTCGTCGTGGTCGCGGTCGTGGTCGTGGTAGTCGTCGTGGTCATCGTGTTCGTCGTCGTCGGCGTTGTCGTCGTAGCAGTATTAGTAGTAACAATACTAGCAATCATGCTAACGATACTCTTGCATCATGATGCATCGGCAGCAAGCGCGCGCTCCAAGACACTGCTGCATGTTTGTCTCGCTCGGCAGTTTAGAAACGAGGGTTTATATGGCCGAACTGTGGCAGGAACTTCTGCAGAAAATCGTCGCCGGGTTGCAGGTGCGCAGCGTGTAAAGCCTGGTTTGCTCAGCACTGCACCCCTGAACTTGGCGAGTTGTCAGGTAGATCCTTGTGGGACCTCAAACAAGACAGACCCTCTGAGAAATCTCTGGGTTCCCTTCATAAAGCACTTCTAAGGAGTCATTGGAGGGTCTATTCTCTTTGCCCCTAGGAATCTACCCCAAGTGGCGTCAGCTGGAAAGGCAGTAGAGAACGTTGCTGACCTACTTGGAGGGTCAGGGGGACTTCGTTAGTAGCTTAATAACCCCTATAACCCTTGTTAGCCCCAGTTATCCCCATTATTAACCTACTTCCTAAGTCCCCCTGACCCTCGAAGTATGACATGGTGGGATCCGTGGATCTCCTGTCAGCCCTGGACTTACTGGTTGGTGGTAACCTCTAGTACCCCCTATATGGCCTGTAATCTAAATCCTTAAAGCGGGGTTATATAGGGGAGTATTATAGGGGTAATAAGGGGGATACTAGGAGTTTAGACTGTAGCTCATATAGTTCCCAACGTCAGTTTCTATGTTCTATTTCATTCTTTCATTCCCTTTGAACAACCAGCGACTTGAGCCTCAACCCCAAGCCCCAAATGTCAGGCAGTCAGGAAAGGGGGCGCGCGAAAACCTACAGATCTCCATAAACTCCCAGTTCCAATTTCATTTCCCATCTGCTGTTCCATTTTGCTTTTCCATTCCCTCCTGACACCCAAACCCTAAACCCACCCTGAACCCTAAACCCTAGACCCTAAACCCTAAACCCTAAACCCTGAACCCTAAACCCTAAACCGAGTGGAGGCAAGCGGAATGCATGACCGAGCTGGCGGCCTCTACGAACGCATGGGTCTCATTCAGCCGGCCATGGACGCGTATCGTCGGGGCCATGCCTACCGACAGGCCGCTTCTGCTGATGGTTTAGGGTTTAGGGGTTTAGGGGGTTTAGGGTTTAGGCGTTTAGGGTTTAGGGTTTAGGGTTTGGGGTTTGGGGTTTAGGGTTTAGGCTATGTCATCTGCATGCTGTATCTGAGTCCGCGTCTTTAATGAGACAGTTGTCACCATGAGATGCTCTATGGGCGTGCGTAACTCCATGATCTTTGGCACAGAGAGTTGGTTGTTCTACGCTCCTTAGCCCAAGTTCTAACTTGACTATAGTAATCCTAATTGTACATCCACCTTTAACATGATAACCCAGATCCTATTTCCCTATGGGATACCTTGGCACATATCCCCATAGAACCCCTCTTTCAATGTAACCCTAAACCCTAAACCCTTTGATTCTCCAGCATCCCCACGCGTCCTGCACGCATAAACCCTGAACAATGCAGAGGCTGGCTTTTCTTTTGCATGACCTCAAGATCGAGTATATAGGGTTTAGGGTTTAGGGGTTTAGGGTTTAGGGTTTAGGGTGTATCCTTACATGCGCCAACACAATTTGACCCCTTAACCCTAATCCCTCAGCCCTAATCCCTACACCTTAGACCCTAGGCCTGAAGCCTTAAACCCTAAACCCTAAGCCCCAAAATCCCAACCCCTAAGCCCTCAACCCTAAAGTACCCTAAACCCTAAAGGATCCCCTAAGACCCCGGAAGCCAGGCCATTGAGCTGGCTAAGCATTCGCAACCTGGTCTGGTGGTCTTCTGCCTGAAGTTGGGGTTATTTAGGGTTCTTATTTCCTTTGGGAGATATTTTGGGGAATGGAAAAGAGCAAGGACACGACTCTTTAGGGTTTAGGGTTCAGAAGGTTTAGGGTTTGGGGTCTGGCAGGGACCCTTAACTGGGGCTAGTGTAGGTGGGTGGCAATGACTTATGTGGGGGGTATATGCGTAGAATTAAGCACTAGAAGTTGGGTCAGTTTCTGATCATCCGTGCGTATGTAGGGTTTAGGGTTTGGGGATTACGGTTTAGTGTTTAGGAATCATATAGGGTTATATGGGAATTATTTGTTGCTTAGGGTTATTACCCAAATGACTGAGCATAGCATGAAAAAGGAACTGGACAATGAAATGGACACTGGATGATATTTTGGTTTATGGGGATCAGGGTTTCCAAAAATTCGGGATCCCTTTTTTGGCGGACTATAGTATACTTGGGGAAATTAAGGGGGACCCTAGTTTTTGGAAAGCCCTAAACCCTGAACCCTGAAACCTAAATCCCAAACCCCCCTAAGCCCTCAACCCTGAACCCTAAATCCTAAACCCTAACCCCCCTAAACCCTAAACCCTGAGCCCTGAATCCTGAACTCTAAACCTTAAACCCTCAACCCTCAACCCTGAACCCTAAACCCTGAACCCTGAACCCTAAATACCATCCTTTTGTTGAAGCTTGGGATTTGGGATCTACAAAGGCTCCTTCAGGCCTAGACTCTATGGTTTCGATTTAGGGTTTTAGGGTTTAGGGTTTAGGGGTTTAGGGGTTAAGGGTTTAGGGTCTAGGGTTTAGGGGTTTAGGGTTTAGGGTCTAGGGGTTTAGGGTTTAGGGGCTTGAAATTCCCCTTTTCGGGATTGGGACTGCGGGCCTCTCCCACTCTCAGGTTGCCCAAAACGGCTTCCAAGGTCCAATGGCATAAATGGGGGTTCCCCAAAATTAGGGGACTATAGGGTATATCTTGGGGTTATATAGGGGTTATATGGGATAATGGAAAAGCAAATGGAAGCTACTATTTAGGGTTTAGGGTTTGGGGATTAGGATTTCCCAAAATTAGGAGTACCTTTTTGAGGGTCCCCATAATAAGGACTGTAGTATTCTGGGGTCTATATTAGGGGCCTTTTTACAGAAACTACCGCATGTTTTGAGTGATCTCTCCGGTTTGAGACGGATCAGATGGATAAAGCAGACGCTTCTAGCGCGCATCTACGGGCGGGGAAGATTTGAGAACGAACGGGTGATGGTAGAGGATTAGGATGAACAAGAAACCCTGAACCCTAAACCCTTGGTCAATGGGAGGTGAGGGCTTGAGATGCTAGGTTATATTGGGGTTATGTAGGGGTAATGGAAAAGAAAATGGAAACTACTATAATGGGCTATATAGGGACTAATTCCTTCATTCCTCTCTAACTTTGGCAGTCTTGCTTCTTATGACCTTCTCCATGGCCTTGGTCGTCTGGTTTCTCTGGGAGCTCGCACTTGCAGTGGTAGGTAGTACTTTTATTGCGACCGCTGTAGTCCTTAACATAAAGAAAGGTCATATCTTCCTTTGGGGTACTGTACAGTGCTTGTTTAGGAAAGCAAGATCCTACCCTAAACCCGAAACCTTAAACCCTAAACCAACACCCCGACCCACTTCGTTCCGACAGCCAAATCCCAAGGTTGCCCTGGAGGAGGAGTGGGGTGACTGGCTGGTCTCGCAGCGGCAGGCAATGGACAAAACTTGCGTGTGACAAGCAGGTGATGTTGGGAAATCCTCATATCAGGGTTTCTCAAAAGTGAGGGGTACCCTTAAAGGGGGATACAGGCGTTATATGGCGGATATATAGGGTTTAGAGTTTAGGGTTCAGGGAGTTTCCCAAAATTAGGGGTACTTTTTTGGAAGGATTAAAGTATTTTGTGGTCTATATTGGGGTCCCCCTGTTTGAGAAAACCATCATGTAGCCCCCATAGAGAGCTAGTTTCTATTTTGTTTTCCATTTGATTGAGGTAACCTCTCAGGCTACCCGTCTGACCTGCCAGAACGGAGTGAGAAGGGTGTCAGAAAACTTTCTAAGCAGACGTCAGGTGGATGCAGCCATCAACCACTACATCGAGGCCCAATCTGCGCCTTGTACCAGCGGCACATCTGTAGTTCCTACCTGCCTAGTAGAGAAAGAGGGAATAGATAGTCCCAACATAATCTATTATAACGGCAAGGTAAACCCTTCCCCCATTCCCGACTCAGCACCAGAGAGGTTCAGCAAGAGCTCCCTGCTTGCTGGGAGGCCGGTAACGCAACGAAGGCCATTGATGCTGCCATGCCATGCGCCCAGTGCTTTTCGAGCCACAATTTAGCTGTATATAGGGTTTGTAGGGTAACGATGGTAGAGGGGTTATATAGGATCATCTAGGGCTTAGGATTTGGGGTTTGGGCGCAAATCAGGGGAGTTTCTCCGAAACATCCTTACAGAATCCCTAAGTGGCACAGCACTAATCCTAGTATGATTTCATATAGCATGTATCCCCTACATATACTTATCTCACCCTTAGCCCTAAACCACAAACCAAAACTCCAAACCGAAACTCTAAATCCCAAACTCTAAACCCCAAACTCTACACCCCAAACTTAAACCCTGCACCCCAAATAAGGATCTCAGGAAGTCGCATCCCCATTCCTCGCCGTGAGCTGAGGACTGCGCGTCAGTGGCACAAAGCCGAGACACTCCTGGATCAGGTCTGCTTCAAGGGATTGGGAGTTTAGGATGTTAGGGTTTAGGGGTTCAGGGTTTAGGGGCCAGTGTTTAGGGTTCAGGGCTTAGGGTCTTAGGGGTTTAGGGTTGATGGTTTGGGGGCCGGAGTTTAGGGCTTAGGGATGAGGTTGCCAGGACTATGTTGGATTATATAGGGTTAAACAGGAATTATTTGGGGATGCTGCAGGAGGGTTTAGGGCGTAGGTATGTGGGGGATGGGCACGGAGAATCAAACGGACAAGAGTATGAAGCATGAAATGGAGATTGGGCTTATACAGAGTTGACGTAAGGTGTAAAGGAAGTTTAATCGTAGGGATAAGGATGTAGGGTTTGGGGTTCAGGGGTTAGGCTTAGGGATTAGGGTTTCAGGTTTAGGGATGATGCCTAAAGGGATTACATGGGCTGTCAGGGGGACATCGTGGGGAGTGGAGGAATGAACAAGAAAAAAGCAACGACCATATTTCATGTTTAGGGGTTAGTTAGGATTTGGGGTCGGAGACTTGGTAATTAAGTAGATTGACACTGAAACGAGATGGGGTTGTACTTTGTGGCTTGTAGGGGTTCTAATTGTGCTTACTATGTCCCCCTGACCTTTCAAGTGGGGAATGGGGTCCAGGCATCTAATGCCTAGTAGGAAACACCCAGAGTCTTTTCTTGTCCGCATATATTTCTAGCTCTCTTTCCCTCTTCTGCAACTTAGCCATTCCGACTAAGCTTTCAGGCTTCCATGGGCGCAGATCAGACCTTTGCTCTGCCGTTCTACGAGAAGTTGGCCACGCACTATGCGCACTCCCGCCAGCCGGAGACCCGGATTGTGGAGATGCTGCAGAATCTGCAGAGCGCTGCCAGACGCAAGTGCCCCACCATAATGTATGGATGATGTACCATGATAAGCTACAATATTTTATACTACATGAAACTATGGCATAGATATTCTAGTCTTTATAGTATATTATATTGTAGTGTACTTAGCCTGGAGGTCTTGGCTCAGGCATTAAGCAGCCCACAAACCCCCCCTGCACTTCATCAATGGCTGCCACCGCAAGGGCATTTGCGCTGTTGCTGGCCGTTGCCAGTGCCCACACTACCAATACGATGCTGCGGCAGG